GCGGTTATATTAAATCTGTCTCATAATTGTAACGCGTGGTCGTTGAGACCCCCCCCCCCCCACACACACACACACACATACAAATAGTCGTATGGAAATTCCTTGCTCAGAGCCTGAAAATTGAAATGATTTCCGTTGAATTTCTAAGGGAGTTTCTTTGTTTTGCCTTGCCTGAAAATCTGCCTAAAAATTGCAAACAAAAAATTTAAATAAACGCACTCGAGGAGCATGGCAAACGATATTTCTAGACACATCGCACTGCGCCAACAAAGCAGCCCAGGTAAACACTAGAAAGCGAAAAAATGTATAGCAAAAAATAAAACCCTAGCCCGAACGGCTTCTATCAGAGACAGACAGTTTTTCCACCCGTGTGGCGTATTATCGCACAATACAATATGTATATTGGATTATTTCGTTTGTGCGCGCTCCCCAGGCTCTCTGGCTTGACTACCTCGGCTACCTCCTAATGCCATTGCCGGCCGCATCTACACACACACACACACAGACACAGCCAAACACAAACGTGCATATCGACAGTTGTTTGGCATGGACTCAGGGCGTATTTGGATAACAGGAAGCTCACAATGTGGGCGATTGCAATAACGCCATCAGTTGTTCTCTTCGTTACACATCCGCACACAGCCCAATAATGTGCTGGCATTTTCAGATATATTTTCTTTGATTTTTGCAAGCTTGTATTGTTCATAAAGTTTTTAATTGAATTTTCGAGAGTGGCATGTAAGAGATTATTGACCAAAAAAAATATATGCAAAGGATTCCATAAGGAATCTAAACTACAGCACGAATACGCTTAGGAATTCTTATTTGATGATATCGAAAAGAATAGAGTCACTCAGATAAACATTTTCTTTTTGTTTTGCTTACAAAAAATATTCTCTTCTTATTTAGCAAAACGTTTGGTTTGATTCCACTTGAATTCGTTTGCTTTCTACGTTTCATTCATTGAAATATCTATGATTAATTTGATTCCATAAACTCGCAGAATATTCTGTCTGTAAAATCTAAGCATAAGTTTTCAATTCAAAGTGGCTAAGCACATAAAGAATTCCCTCAAGTACAATTTTCATTTTGGTTTAGAGGAACTGCCAAGTTTTGCGCCCTTAGTGGAATAATAAATAAAGCTTTGCCTCTTTTATCTCGTCGCCTTATGGGGTTAAGCGTCCTACTAAGGCCAATGAGCAGCCGCAGCCTGCCTGAATTCGAGTCCGTGTCCGTGTCTGAGTCTTAGTCGGTCTCAGCCACATTTCAATGGGTCCCATCCTCAATTCGGTATATTTAAAGCGCTTTGTCTCTGGCCGCATTTAAGAACTCGTGTTTCATTGAGGGCTGCTCGCGCTGTTGACAGCGAGCATCGTCGCCCGTTTTAAGGCAACATTCGGTTTTAGCCGCTTAAGCTTTCAATTTTGCTGCTGCTGTTGCCGCTGAGAGAAGTGTTAAATTATTAAAAGCCCAGCGTAGTGTTGGAGTAAGCGAGAAAGTAACGCTGGCCGAGGCAACCAAGAGAGAGAGAGAGAGATGGAACTTTCAAGAATTTCCTCTGTTGTTGCTGTTGTTGATTTTTTTTTTAAGTATGTATTTATTTTGCGTCTGCCTCTTGTCTGAGCTCTTGGCGTGCTTTCATGAATAAACATGCAAACAAATTACTCTACTTGACAAACAAAAGCTCTGGCGCACACCTGTGAATGCTGCTTACACCGTTGAATGGTGTTTTTGTTACATTTCGGCTGCTCAGACAATGAAAACTGGGCTAAGATTATAATGGCAAAGCTGCAGCCGACTCAAATTTAACTGCAATTTCATAGAGAAGGGTGTGAGGAGCTGAGCTGACTGCTTTACACATAGAAGATGAGAAAACTTTTATTTTAGCATTGAAAAATAGAAAATGAAATCGATTTGTTTGCCTCTGAATTCAGCATTTTATATAAAGTATTTGAGAATATTTAAAAATACAATTTTTATCTTAGCATTTCAATTAAAATCTGTCAAACGATTTTATGTGCTATTGAAAGAATTTATAAGAAATGGTCTATCACAGTATGAGAAATAACTTTAATTGAATTTAAGATTTTTCATTTGCAGAAGACATTTGGTTTGGCCTGCAATCATTTCACAAGCTAGACAAGTCAGAGTGATACACACATACATACATACCATCCATTCCTATGTAGGTACTTGAATATTGTAATATAATCCCATTGAAAATGGAATGCTACATGCGTCATTGCATTTCTAAGCATTGCTAATGCCCAGCTTAGTAGCCCCACTCATTTCTCCCCTCATCCCGATCCGAATTCAATCAAGTGTGCCCAGGCGTACTGAAGGCGCTCTATTTGGCGTGCGTTGCACCCACAAACAAATCGAAACAAATCCGAATATGGAAACAGAACCGAAAAAAAAAAACTCACTGAATGCGTAGCTGTCAAAAAAAGAGAAACCTACAAAAGTATGTATATGAAATGTTTTTGCTGCTCAGCGCTGGAGCTGGGGCATATCGCCTGGCTATGGGGCATACGAGCCCAACCGGCGGCTGGCTCTAGGAGTCTAGACATCAATCAACACCTTGGCCATGTTGATTGACAGGCGAAACGACAGCATTGAAAAATAAATCTGTCATTTGCATTTTGAGTTTCGTTTGAAATCAATATGAATGTAGTACTTGGAGAGCCATTTGCTGCTATTTTTGTTGTTGTGGTCGTGGTTGTGCTTGTCGTTGTTGTTCTTGTCGTTGTTGTTGCTTCCATAGTCAATTTGTCAAAAACATGCCGAAAAAAAAAACAGAATCAAAGGCTTTTCATAACATTTCAGTGTCTGACGCATTTGCATCTTCGAAATGGAAAATCCGTTGGATATGTCGGGCTTGTATTACAGCTTAAAAAAGTGATTTTTCTCAAACCACTGAACAGCACATATGAAAGTAAAAAGAAGTATAAATATTGATGCGGTTTTGCATAAAACAAAACCACATATTTAATTAATACAAAGTAAATGATTGGTAAATAAAATAAATTCGGCTCGCGAGCGCAGCAGACGTGAAATTGTTATTTGAGTATAATAAAAATATTTGTTCATGGCGCGGATTTCCCAGCCCAGAGCCCAACGCAACCCTTCGGTAGTGATCCATTTGTCATGCCAATCTGCTGCCGGCAGTTGGTTTATTTAAATGATTCAATCATATTTGCATACATCTGTAAGACATACAAATTTACGCTGTGAACGCTGGCAATCCTCTCATGCTGATTCTTGAAAGCTCTGTTTCAATACACGCTCACAGGGATAATTAGGGTATATTGGTTGAAATTGTGGGCAAGCTTGTAACAGTTATGGTATATATATACAAAAACTGAGTTCGTTGTAAATCTCTCAGTAGATTTCTTAATAGACCCTTGTTGCTCTTGTTTAGTGGAAGCGAGTATTACGCAGTCAGTTGTACTCTCTCATAGTTTTGCATTATGTAGTTAAGCTCTTTATAATCTTAACAAGTGTGGCTTATAGGCAATCTCATTTCATATGCGAGCGCTTAATGGCCGTTGACAGTCCTTTGAATGCCCTGCTTTACATAAATTATATTTAAATTATTTTCAATCGAATGGAAGGCTCTCCAGCAGCTTAATAGATAATACTGATGATTCGCTAATTTTCCATTAACTTTGGCTCCTAAATTACAATCGTTTTAATACCTTTTTCTTTAACATATATTTTACTGCCTCACTTGAGATCAAAGGCATTTCAATAAAAAATATTTCAGCCCAAATTGTAATTGTGAAATTCAATTGAAATACGCAGATCTTAATAACCATTAACTTCTCATTGAATTCCACTCAGTGGGGAGTCTCGGGAAGGAGGCCGATATCGTTCTCTGCCGCTGAAGTCCTTGGTGAAAATTGCTGTTTATGTTTTACATGCTGCCTGTAATTTCGCTGCGAAAATGGCGAAAATATCCTGCAGCTGATTTTTAATTACGAAAACACAAAAACAAGAGAGAAGAAAGGAAGTTGTTGCGACTTCGTGTATGTAAACACAAATACAAATACAAGCACGTAGT